GAAAAATGAAGTGCGATAAACCATTAAGATGGTCGAAAATCACTAGCCGACATGACTGTGGAACAAAAGGTATCGGTTTACTGGTGGAAATATCGCAGTATATTCTCGCATCAGAATTTAGCACGGGTAACTGAAAGCAGCTCAACGTAGCATTCGATCTAAGCTGTGTTAGTTCTGGATCCTTGGCTTAGGCAGTAGACATTTCTTCGAGATCAATGGGTGAGCGTGAAAATTGGTGGATGTGAGCACGGGATAGTGCGCAGGCAACAAGGTTGTTAGGATCATCAATATAGCGAATGTCAAAACAAAACTGAGAAAGATAATCAGTGTCGAGTCTCTCTAGGGAAGTAGGCTTCAGTAGTACGCCGGTACTGCGCACCGGCGGTTCGCTGCCGTGCAACCACCACCGGTCGCAAGTGGGCTAAGGATACTGCGAAGGTTGCCCTGCCCCTACGCAGGCTCGGACCAGCTCACTACGTCTAGGCTACGGGCCGGCTAGGATTTGCCTGTTCTCTAGGGGAGTAACGGTCAGAAACTGCACGAAAAGCATACACAAGGGGCTTATGATCTGTCAAGATGACAAAACGTCGACCATCAAAAATGACGAAAGTGATTTACAGCTAGTTAAATGGCAAGGAGCTCGCGGCCGAAAATGCTGTACCTGGTCTGGGCAGGTTGAAGTTTACGGGAGAAGAAAGACAAGAGTTGAATCTCGCTACCCATTAGCTACTGCAATATGTCACCAACGGCGGATTGTGTAGCATCTGTCTCGAGAATGAGAGTGGCGTTGTCGTCCGTCCTCAGGTACGCGAGGAAAGTGGCTTGGCTCAGCTTTTGCTGCAACGCGTTAAACACTGTTTCGGCCTCTGGAGTAAACGTGAACTGTTTGAGATTATTCATGTGCAAATCAGTTAAAGGCTGAAGAGTTGCAGCGCATCCATGTAGTAGTAGTTAACCATGTTGAGAAAACGGCGTAGGCTCTTAACGGATTGAGGCGATGGATAGTCCATGATGGTTTGCGTTTTGTCAATCAGGGGACTAATTCCGCTACCGTCAATTCTGTGGCCTAGAAAATCAATGCAGGATTGGCCAAAAACGCATTTGTCAGAGTTAATGGTGATACCATGAGGTTCGAAGCATTCGAAAACTTTTCGTAGATGTGACAAGTGTTCCTTGATCGACGCATTTGCAACTAACCCATCATCAATGTAGACGAAGACAAAGTCGAGACCCCAGAGAACTTGGTTCATGAAGCGTTGGAAGGATTGCGCGGCATTTCGAAGACCGAATGGCATACGGAGAAACCCGTACAAGTCAAACGGGGTGGTCACTGCCGTTTTTGCAGTATCTTCCGAGGTCATTGGAAGTTGGTGGTATACCCTGACAAGATCAATCCTGGAAAAGATCGACTTTCCAGCTAATCCCAACGAAAAATCGTGCATATGTGGGATCGGATATCTGTCGGGAACTGTGGCGTTATTCAATGCTCAGTAATCGCCAGATGGATGCCAATTACCGGTCTTTTTAAGCACAAGCTGTAGAGGAGATAACCAACAGCTGCTTGAAGGACGAAGGAGCCCTAGCTTAAGCATGTGCTCGAACTTTTTCTTAGCTGTCTGTAGTTTTTCGGGAGTAAGTCATCGTAGTTTAGTCATCCCGGGTGGACGCGTTATAACAATGTGAGGTACATCTTGTTTGGATTCCACCGCATCGTTACTTACTCCGATAAGGGCTGGAAAATGCAGTATTGTGAATGATCGGGCATAAACGCTTGAAGTCCGATAGAAGCTATCGCAGTAAGTTTGCCGGAAGCGGTTAACGAGATGGTACCATCTCGTAACTTCCCACAACGCAGATCTACTAGAGGGCCAAACTCGCCAAGAAAATCGATATTGATAATTGGATTCTGTACATCAGCAATAGTAAAAATGAAAAGGAAACTACGACGTAATTAAAGGCTGAGCGTGAAGAGTTTCTAGCCACAAGTCGCGATCTTTGTTTGGTTAGCTACCTGTAGCGTCATCCCAGCCGGATGTAGCGAGCGTTTTTTCAAAAAAAACGGGGCATAACGCTTACCTCCGCACCGGTGTCAACCAAAAAGTGGAGTTTGGTCATAAATCGAATACATAAAGAAGACGATTAATAATATGGCCAGCGGCAACCGTCGCCATTGCTGACTGGCTTTGTCGTTTCCCGATTTGGAGTTAGCGAAAGCCTTTGGATGAGTGCACCCAGGGCGGCAGTTTCGTGCAGCATCACCAAAACGGTAGCAGTAAGGGCGGGATTGTTTGCGGGAGTTGCTGCAAGCCTTGTTTCTGGAAGAAGACCACGGTTTCTCATTCCATGAAGTCTAAGATGAGAAACAGCTCCAAGGTTGAGTCTTTTGGTAATGGAGTCGAGTGTGGCACTCACCGAAGTGCTTGCAGTGGATGCCTCAGACACATGGTATACAGAATTTTTAAAGAAACCATACACTTTGTCGGCCGTTTAGTCAGTGGAAGATCATCAGCCAAAGCAGTTAGTATTGCCGTCGTGTTTGCTGGAAGACACTTACTCCAAAGTTGGCGGGAAAATGGAGTCATCTAAGGTTGAGGAACCGACAAGTGATTGCATGTGTCGAAGGAGATGATAAGGTGTACGATCGCCAAGCTCGACACCAGAAAGTAGCAGTTGTAGGCGTGTTTCCTCGGATGCAGTAGTGCGCTATAAGATAGCTGCTTAAAGCTTATCATAAGGTGACGCAGTCGGCATATGGTCGAGGATGTCAATGACTTCTGAAGCCACATGTGTAGGCAAGTGAGCAGGAACATATGAAAAGAAAGTGGACTGCGAGGTGATTTTACGAAAACGGAAGATAGATACAATTCGAATAAACCAAACACGTGGATTTGACACGTCGAAGGAAGGTATTGAAAATGCAACGGAATTTTCAGCTAACTGTTTGCAAAAAGGCTGATCGAGCATGGTGAAGAAAACAAATGACGTGTTCAAAAAGAATAAGGGGTAATCAATTAATGTAGTGGACGGTTACCTAAAAAGTTCGAGTCCCGAGGCCAAAAAATAATCTTGGGCAAAATCTCACAGTCGAAGAACGACCAAGCATACTTGTGTTATAATTTTTCCTTCAGTTTCCGACTGTTAGATGCTGACTTGCGATTCGAAACTATACATCCGATTACTGGAAAGACGTGGCGACAACACAAGCACAGGCAGCAGCAAACGAAAGCAGTACGACGCGAGCGCATTGAAGATGTTATATTCAAAAGTCGTGAGTCAAAACAAATGGCACAAAATGGCCAGTAACGGAAGTGATAAAAAGAAAGATAAAATACAGTGTAGTCACAACCGCTACAAACCATACATCAGATAGTTCAGAGCCCACAATGTGTTCCTAACTGCTGTGATAAGTGTTACTCGCGAATCCGAGTGCTTTTATTAACAAGGTATATGCTAATAACACTTTCATCTCGGACCGAACAGCGGCTCCAGATGATTCTAACAATCAAACAAAGACGAGGTGATCATTGAGTGCGGTATAGGTAGCCGGGGCGAGTTAACTGCAATGGCTATACTCAAGTACGGTGGTAACCGGATGTGGGATCTAGCAGCGATTAAGCATATATAGACCTGTTGAACTCAAATAGCCTACACTGGCTAGATCATTTCCTTCACATGACCGATAACTGGTTCCGCCTGTGTTACGTATCAGAACTGCGCCTACCTGCGTACCGACGCTTCGCTGCCGCTCAATCAACACCAGTCGCACGTGGCAAAGGATACCGCGAGGGTCACCCGGTCCCTACGCAGACTCGAGCCTGTGCCGTCGGAGTACAAGGCAGACTTGTGATCCTTCTAACGATCTTTCGATGCCCTGGCCTTCATAGAGAATAATCAATGGCGCCCTATCTAATGCATCGTGCAGGGTGGATAGGGGTCTGGATGTTACTGCTCAGGCCTTCCCGCCTGCTTATTCCCCCTTTTGCGCTTTTTCATGCTTAGCGACACACTCCAAGTTCACTTTTATCCCTCACATTTTCAACTCCCAATTCTTGGCGCTTCTCCACCTTGCTTCAATACACCATGATGATCTTTAAGGCTCGGGGTCGGAAACAAATAAATGAATAAAGATAGTAATAAAATGAATCAGGTCGATGTTGCCGTTTCCTGTATGGAAGAATCGAAATAGGCCATATTAGCGGGTAGATAGTGTGATGGTAAGACACTACATTTAGATGCCCGTTGCATAGCGATCGGTCGAGCTTAACGATTTTGGGCCAACAGTATGGAAGCGGGTCGATCGCTGCAGCGGCGAACTGAAGGTTAGCATGCAATCGATTTGGATCGACATTGAACGAAACTCGAACGCTGGCTGAGAATGTAATAGAAAGGAGATTTGTTCTGCATCTGTGAGTGATTCTAATTGACTCGAGATATAAAATGAGTTGCGTTCTATGAATAATAAATTTCTGATCGAGGCCCAGACTTGGACTTTTTCATGAACGGAGGGCCACTTTACATGGCGACAGAGGACAAGAAGACACGCCGAACCCCGCATGCGTTTGGTGGACAACCAACGATTCCGCTGCCAGCTCCGTTGCAAATGACCGAGAGTTCGTTGCCGGAAAATTGGAGAATATGGAAGGCGAAGTGGCTAGACTTTGTAACACTGACTCAGTTGGATTCTCAGCCAATGGCCTATCAACTGGCGATGTTCAGGCATGCCATTGGAGACGAAGCCAGGCGGACGCTGCAAACGTTGGATCTCAGCGATGGAACTCAGGAGATGGAGCTGGATGAAGTAGTACGCAGATTCGGCGAGTTTTGCGAAGGTTACACAAACGAAACTTACCAAAGGTATCTGTTTTTCAGCCGAAATCGCCTGCCGGGTGAATCAATCGACGCATACATCACGGAGCTGAAAATTCTGGCGCGGGATTGCAATTTTTGCACCTGTTTACGAGATTCGCTGATCCGCGATCGAATTATAATTGGCATAAAGAATGAGGAACTTTCCAGACGCCTTTTGCGACAGCGAAACCTGTCTTTGGAACATTGCATCGATATCTGTTTTAGCGAATCAAGGACGGCTCAACAGTTTCAGCAGCTCAAGATGGACTCCACGACGGATCTGTTTGCAGTATCCCGAGGCCGAGAAATTGTATCGAAGTCATCGAGCGCGAATCAACCCAAATGCCAGTTTTGCGGCCGCTCACACCCAAGGCGCAAAGAGGATTGTCCAGCATGGGGCCGAACCTGTATGAAGTGTGCGAAGAAGAACCACTTTGCAAGTTGTTGTCAGGCAACCAAAGTCGACTCAGTCGGGCAGGACGATCAGGAAGAGCCGCAGGAACTGGCTATTAATAACATGACAGGACGTGAGAGACCAGTCTGTGTATTCGCAACGTTGCTTATTCAAGGGCGTCCGGTGCGATTCCAATTGGATTCAGGAGCAAGCGTAAACATACTTCCTCACAAATACTGTCCCGATGCAGAATACCGCCAAATACAGACACAGCTCAGAATGTGGAACGGATCAAAGTTACAACCGAAGGGCGGCGTTACCATGAAGGCCATAAACCCGAAGGATGGCTCCGAGCATTTACTTGATTTTCTCCTGGTATCAGGAGATTTAATGCCCATCCTGGGCCTTGATTCCATTCAGAGTTTGGGTTTTGTTTCTTTTAATCATGATCGTTTTGTTCACTCGTGCGAAGTCGGTACAGAGATCGTAGACAACTATCCCAGTGTGTTTGATGGTACCGTGGGAAAATTCCAAGGCGTAGCTCACCTGTCGTTAAACGAGTCCGCCAGACCAGTAGCACTACCAGCGAGAAAAGTACCTATCGCTTTGCGTGAGAAGTTCTTAGACGAGTTGCAGCGTTTGATCAGTTTAGGTGTGATTGCCAAGGTCGATGAGCCAACCGATTGGGTCAGTCAAGTCGCGATAATCACCAAGAAGTCAGGCGATTTGCGTGTGTGCATCGACCCTAAGCCGCTCAACGCCGCACTCAGGAGAGAGTATTTTACACTACCAACGCTAGATGACGTCTTACCCGAGTTGTCCAAGGCCAGATTGTTCACGAAGGTCGACCTCGCTTCCGCTTTCTGGCACGTCCAGCTTGACGAAGAGTCCAGTTATTTAACCACGTTCGGAACGCCATTTGGACGGTTTCGGTGGTTGCGCTTACCATTCGGTTTGAAAGTGTCCAGTGAAATTTTTCAGAAACGATTAATGCAGGCCCTAGACGATCTACCCGGAGCTATTTGTGTAGCAGACGATGTAGTGGTTTTTGGGGCGACTCTGGAAGAGCACGACCGTAACCTGAGCAGATTTCTAGAACGCTGTAAAGACAAGAATATCAGATTGAAACGTGAGAAAATTGAGTTACGAAAAACAGAGCTGGTGTTCCACGGACATGTTTTGAGCGCAGAAGGTCTAAAGCCAGATCCGGAGAAAGTTAGAGCCATAAAAGAGATGCCACCTCCGACAGATGTTAAAGCCGTGAGCAGACTAAACGGGATGGTGAATTACCTCAGCCGCTTCCTTCCACGACTAGCCGAAGTAATGGTTCCTATCCGAAAACTTACACATAAGGGCGAGAGCTGGCAGTGGAACACAGAACAGGAGGAGGCTTTCCAGAACATCAAACAACTGATCGCGTGCGCCCCTGTCCTAGCGTATTACGATCCGTCACTTCCCCTTGAGATCCAGTGTGACAGCAGCCAATTCGGTATCGGTGCCGTGCTAATGCAGAACGGGAAGCCCATCGATTTTCGCAGTCGGACACTAACAGAATCCGAGCGCCGTTATGCACAGATTGAAAAGGAGATGCTAGCATTGGTTTATGCCGTAGAGCGTTTCAACGATTACACTTTTGGTCGCCGGACCACTGTATTTACCGATCACAAGCCTCTGGTATCAATAGCCAATAAACCACTGCACGTCGTCCCACGCCGCTTACAACGAATGCTCATTCGGCTCCAGAAGTACGACCTGGACATCGTCTACCAACCGGGGTCGAGGATGTACATTGCAGACACACTGTCTAGGGCATATCTTTCCGATGTGACCGCAACGCAAGAAGACCAAGACATTGTCCATGTCACTCAGCTATTGGCCGTCACAGAGGAGCGTTTCCAGCAACTACTACGCCACACGGAAGCAGACGAGCTGTGTAATCGGCTCAAGGAAACGATACTGAAAGGGTGGCCCGATAGTAAAAACAAGCTGCCAAAGGAGTTGACTCCCTTCTTTAACTTTCGGGATGAACTTGTCACACAGGATGGGCTAATCTTCAAAGGCAACCGTATACTCGTTCCAAAGGCAATGCAACGACCCATGCTGGAGCTGATACACGGAAGTCATTCAGGAGTCAATGCTTGCGTGGCGAGAGCTCGAGAGCTAATGTTTTGGCCTGGAATGACTAGTCAGATACGGGATCACGTTTCAAACTGCTTAGCCTGTCGAGCACATGATGTCCGCCAGCCGAAGGAGCCTATGATGCTTCGTGAGGTCCCGGAAAGGCCGTGGCAGAAAGTCGCACTAGACATCTTTACACATGACGGAAGGAATTACCTGATCGCTGTCGATTACTTTAGCGACTATTTCGAGATTGATGCTCTCACGTCTACTAGCACACAGGCCGTGATAAACAAGCTACGATCGCAGTTTGCGCGACATGGGATACCGGAAGAGGTAGTGTCCGACAATGGCCCCCAATTCAACAGCGCCGAATTTCGGAGTTTCAGCGAAAAGTGGGATTTCCTTCATCGTTTAACCAGCCCTTACCACAGTCAGTCAAATGGAAAAGCTGAGGCAGCCGTGAAGGAAGCAAAGAAGTTACTCACCAAAGCCAAGGAGACCAAAGAAGATCCTTACATCATGTTGTTAGAACGAAGGAACATGCCATCTGCCGAAATTGGATGCAGTCCAGCGCAACGTCTGTTTGGCCGTAGGACAAGAACCCTGTTGCCGATCGCCAATACTCTGCTGCAGCCTGAAATACCATCGCAGAGCTTGATGTATGAGCGCTTGCGTGAGCGCATGCTTCGACAAAAGAAATATTACGATCGCGGAACGAAGCAGCTTCCACGCCTGTTGCCCGGAGACGAGGTCTGGGTCGCGCCGACACCGGGAGCTAACGGGTCTTGGAGGAGAGGGCGAGTAGAAGGTCTCAAAGGCGAACGAAGCTACGACGTAAGAGTTGGGGATAGTCTATTTCGACGCAACCGGGTGCAGTTAAGGAGACAACGTGGTGAACAAGCACGGCATCGTGCGAAGCAGCCAACGCAGCCGGACATTTCGGTGGATACAGCAGCACACGACCACAAGACTACACGCAGTGGAAGGCGATACAGCGCTTGGGCCGCTTCCAAGAATGGCTCTGGGGAGCTCTTCGGAGCTAGCTGAGAGCGGATCGCGAAAAACGGCTAGCGACGAGCCTGGGCCCGGAACTACGGAGCGGCAATATGTGGACAGCGCAATAAATCAGACAAATACGCCGCTAGCGCAGCCCACAGGACCGAGGCCGAGCCGATTGACACAGCCCATAACAAGCAAGTCGAGAGCTCTCGAACGACTCCTGGCCGATCCAAATCGGGTACAGAGAAGTGGGGATCGAGGCGAAAACAGGAAGGCGGATCTTCCAAAGTCAGAGCTCCCGAGGCGAAAGGACTGGCTCGTCTCTAACATCCGTACCGGTGTTGCTTTGTGGGACGGAAATCTAGTCGATATTCGATGGCGCGCGCGAGACCCTAATGTGCCCATTTTCGGTGTGCAATAAACGTCTACCCCCCTGTCTTGTCGTTCTCGCTACACTGGTGCCGTGACCAATCGCGATGGAGTTGACCCAGTTAGAGCAATTTGCGGCCGGTGACGTGGAGGCGTGGCTCGATGAGTTCGACGGAATTGCGGCGTGCACGGGTGTGAGGGGGATGCAAATTTGCTAATTGCTTTGGGCACACGGTTGAGTGGACGAGCCAAGGCGGTGTATCTGCTCACTCGAAAGGCCAAACCCGGTTGTTCGTTCGCTGAGATGAGGGCTGCCTTGTGTGCAGAATTTGGGAAGGATCTGGAGAGAGAACGAGCACTGCAACGATTTCACGCAGCCAGGTGGGACGAACAGGAGGATTTGATGGTGTTTTTCCAGCAGCTGGACAGACATCTAACGATTGGGCTCCCCGAGTTAGAGGGTAACGCAAGAGAGCGCCTACTGAAACAGCAGTTTATCCGAAGTCTGCCCGAAGCACTCCATGATCAGGTGAAATTGGCGTCGCTGGTGGGAGACAGCAAAGCGTTGGATCTGGTGACGGTCGCCCAGAATTTGTCGGAACGAGTGACAGTGAGAAGCATCCAGCATGCTGAGTTGGAACAGAAAGTAAATCGCCTATCCGAAATGGTGGAGCAGCTGTTGTCGATGGAGTCTTCAAGCACCACTTCACAACGCAATGTACGGGTAATCCGGAACGGTCGCTGCTGTTTCCGATGCAACCAGAATGGTCATGTGGCGAGATTCTGCACCAACGTCAATGTGCCCCATTGTTTCTCTCTATCCATGCCGAGTCGGTGGCGAGTACCAGTCCTCCAGGTAACTATAGAAGGTGTGTCTGTCCGAGCCATAGTAGACACAGGAGCGGCAGTGTCCATTACGAAGAGGTTCAATGGGGTTCCAGTAAACCCATCTTCAATCACGATGCAGACGGTCGGCGGACATTCTTTGAAAGTGACGGGCACGCAGCGGTTACGAATCAGGATAGGAGAAACGCTCATCAGCCATGACATGTTCATCGTGGAGGAGACGACCGAAACCATCATCGGAACCGACATCCTGAAACGGCTCGGTGTCACAATTGACCTGAAAAACGATGTGGTGATCGTGGCTAACGAGACGATCGAGATAAACAAGGGGAGAACCGACCGGGTTGGTGCCCTCAAAGCCGTGCCTGATTGTCAGAACCGTGCAATACGCAACGTACTGAGCAGGTATGCCCACTTATTCACAGACGCGGAAGATGATTACGGATTTTGCAATTGGGTTGAACACCGAATACCGTTGATCCCAGGAGGACAATGCAAGCCAATCTTCAGACGAATTCCACAGAACACCCTGGTGGAGATACAGAAGCAGGTGACCGAGATGGAATCGAAAGGAATCATCAGGCGAACGCACAGCCCGTATTCATCACCCGTGCTATTGACGAAGAAGGCCGACGGAACCTATCGATTTTGCATCGATTTCAGAGAACTAAACAGGGT